AGCAAAACTCACATTGTTTTCACTCTCGAAATTCCACAATAATGCCTAAGTATAATCGTTTTTTTGCAAATATATTATGATAATCTCTTCTTAAAAGATTAGGTTTTATCCTTTCCTTTCCTTTCTCCTTTCAGCTTCATAATTCACAAAACATGATTTTTCAAGTTTTATTTTTAAGGTTTAAAAGCTGAATAAAATTTATTGAAAAATTAATATCAATCCATCAATTGAACTTTTTATTTATTACATATATTTTTAGATAAGATCTAAATTAGAGTAGAAATTAAACATTTGATAGGACATTCTTAGATCAAAAAAAAAAAAAGTCATTCTTAAGCAAATTCTATTGGATTGTCCGGAAAATAATGCATGATTTAGGTTTAAAAAGAAAAAAAGAAAGATTTACAACTGTTTTATTTAATCAAATAGTCTCTAATACTATTTAATATATTTCTGTCAACTTTTCAATTTCCTCGGAATAGAATTTCCCATCTTTAGAATTGATAAACCCTATCCAAGAATGGATTTTCCAATTCCCTTTGTTCGTTACGTTTTTTGTCACGTAAGTAGTGGTCCAGGTGCCTAAAAATACAATAATCCGTAGGTGAGAGGTCCGGAGAGTAGAGTGGATGTGGCAGAATTTCATATCCAAGCTCCAATAGTTTTTGTCACATCGCACATGATTGATTGGCTTCATTATTGCCAATTTCTGATGCATTGCATTAATTTGGTTACAATACGATTGAGCATTGATTGTTTTTTTTAAGAAGCTCTGTAGTGTATAAAACCAAATAAAGCACACTAAACATTTTACTAAACTAAAATCAAACTAAAGGTTTGATAAATTGCTTTGTACGATTCATCTTCAGGATCCCAAGGGTTCTCTGTTTCTCTGTTTCCATCTCTGTTTCCCATTTTTACGCGGAGTTAAAGTGGCTTTATCCTTCCTACCGTCGTAAGTATTTCCTGGCATCCTTCCTCTTTCAAGTCATCCAATCCCACCGTCCCTCATACATCTCCGAGCTCCTTCAATTCAAATCCTCTGTTCGTTCCCGCAATACTCGTTCCCAGTCTTCTGATTTATACATAAGGGCCCTCCGAACAGCTGCTTTCGACAAATCGTTCATTTTCCGATCCTCATCTCTATGGAACTCCATCCCTTCCCATATCCGTCAATCTAATACCCTTCCTACCTTTAAATCCCGCCTGTTCAATCATTTCTTATCCATCCAGTCCCCATAAAATCGTAAATAGATACTACAGAAAATATGTACATAAATTATTAGTTCGTTCTTCATTATTTGTACTCCAATTTTTGTTTATCTATTTTTTTTCTTTTCTTTTATTATCAACTGATCAAAATTGGAAAGCAATTTATATGTATATGTGTATATATATATATATATATATATATATATATATATATATATATATATATATATATTATTTTTTTTAACTAAGACTGTTCAATTACTCTGTATTTTTATTTATATATCTCTGAGGCTCCTTAGCCCTCATTTCTGTCTTCCTGTATTATTCTAAAGAGACTCGTCCCAGAATAAATAAAATATTATTATTATTATTAAACAGTAACCATCACCTTTTTTTTTTTTTTTTATTAACTGGGGCTTTTGAAAATGTTCTACTGCTTCTCCTTTGTTGAGCCACTGGCCATAACGTCTACTGTTGTCGTAAAGTATCCACTTTATATCACAAGTAACAATTCTTGACAGAAAAGGGTCACTATCAGTGTGGTTTCACGACCATCGACCAGATGTTTTCGCTAATCATCATATATGAGGGATATGAGTTTAAAATCGACCTTCATAGTTTATTTATTAATTTTAAGCAGCAGGCATATAACAGTGTTGATAGAGGGAAACAACTTAAGATAATACTCAAATCGAAAATTCCTAAGAAGCTCACTGGTCCTGTAAAAATGACTTTTCATGATAACAGGATGAAGATAAAAATATAAGGAATGCTATAAGAAGAATTTGCAGCAAATAGTGGCCTGAGGGAGACCCATTATAAACTGTTCTTTTTAATTTAGCCTTAAAAAAAACTGTTAGGACAACACGAACCAACCCTAATGGAGCTATTTATAATTGACTCACTAGGCATTTGTGGAAGATATGTTCATAATAGCTAGAAGCGTGGCAGAGCTTTTAGGAGGAGGTTTTGAAGAGTTTGAAAAGGAATCGACAGTGTTCCTTCATTTTAATGAGAAAAAAATGAAATATTTAAAAGTTTCCAGGAACCAACAACTGAAACGCAACGATTTACAGATCGGCGAACATAGTTTTAAAAGCACAGGATGTTTCAAGTATCTTGGTTCTGTTGTAGCAGGTGACAATAGAATGAAAGAGGAAGTGAATGCGAGGCAGGCTGCAGGTAAAGAGTGCCATTATTCCTTACAAAAAATATAGTTTAAAATTCTAACAAAACGCCTGATATATGGAACTATCTTCAAACACACTGTTATGACAGTGAATCCTGGGTACTTACAAATGAAAGTGAAAGGAGACTCAATCTCTGGGAAAGGAAAATACTTTAGAAGATATATAGGCTAATAAGAGACAACGGCACATGGCGATTAAGGAAGCATTGTGAGCTTCATGCTATGTATGGGAAACCAGATCTGGTATCCTTTGAGAAAAAAAGCCCGCCTCAGATGGCTCGTCCATGTAAAAAGGATGCTAATATGCCTGCTTTATAGAAAAATTGAAAGGAAACGATACAGAGGAAAAGACCAAGAGTGAGATGGTTGGATGATATCGAGGATGATCTCAATTTGCTTAGAGCAAGGAGATGGAGGACACTAGAAAAAAATGGGAATGAATGGCTTTGAAGTCCTTAAAGAGCCCCAGCAAAAAAAAAAAATTGATATGTGTAACTACATACATTTTACAATACATACTATCTATATAATACCTTGAAAGGCTTGAGAACCTTTTGTGAGGATCGAGAAACAACCGTAATACATTGGTGGCAATATTGAGAAAACCCATTGTCAGGAATGGAACATTTTATGGAATGCTACATAGTACGATCCATGCGTTTCCGACTTCCCCTATTTCAGTAGCGAGGAAGCAAAACTTCATTGTAGCGTCAAACACGTTTTCTTTTTGAGCAGCTGAAATAATTTTTGAAACCAATCTTGCACTCACCTCGCACATATGCATATGTTCTTTGATGATCCTTAAAACACTTATTTTTGAAAGCTTCAATCTTGTTTCTATTTCTTTGGTCTTCAGTCGCAGATCAGACAGCAATTCTGCTTACACAAATTCAATAATTCAGAAGCGATCTATCCTGATTTTAAATAATTTTATCCATTCTTTTAGAATATGTGGATCATTTTGAATATTTTATTTTATTTATAAATTAAACCAGAATTTTAAAAACTCAAACCTTGGCACTCAATTATCAAACGAAACTGGCAAATAATGATCAGACTACTATAGATGAAAAAATAAGTTATAGTTTACTAGCTGAAGATTTTGTTAATATATTGACAAAGCTACCTGGTGAATGCTAAAATTGAAGATTACCATCCTTGGATGCAATGAACCAAGGTTTTCAAATTTTAGTTTTGTCAAATTTTATCTGTACATACTTTTGTAAGGAAGTACTGTTTCTTGGCCAACGGTTGTGCAAGGAGGTGATTAGGTGAAGATAACGCTCATCCGCTAGGTTTTTCTCTTGACCATATCTAGACCTTTCTCTAGACTTAAGTATAGGAATATGGTACCTTACTTAATGAGCTAAACCTCATTCCAAATTTTAAGTAAGGATGAAGTATTATCAAACTCAAGTGTGTATTAAAAACCTAACACAATGAAGATAGTGAACTATCATTTCAAAATTATGAAATTGACTAGTCAAAAATATTACTGTTGTAAAGTTTGAAAAACATGACAGCTAAAATAAAAAAAAAAAAAAAAAAAATTGAGAAAATTATAACAAAAGAAAATGGAGAGTTATTTACTTTAAATGAAATTATAATGGATAAACAATGGTGTAATTCGTTGACAAAAGTAAATTATATATTTTTTGGATCCGATGGACGTTCCTATATGTGGAGGAGACCAGAAGAAGAGCTTTAACAATTTAAGGCAAAAAACAATTTACACCCATCCATAAAATATAGGGTCAAATAACACATCAGTAATATGGTGTGAGGTGTACAACGGCTTCTGGTGTTGGAAATCATTTTATTGACGGCATATTGAATAAACATATTTAAAAAAAAAAAAAAATTTGTTTTTATCAGAATAATGACCCAAAACACTCTGCCATGTTATTTATGGAATGGCTACTTTATAACTGTTCCAAAGTTATAAAAACTCCACGATAGTCACCAGGTCTTAATATGTTAGAATAACAGTGTGCAAAATTCGAGTTGCAAATTAAATAACACAAAATTTCTAGCAAAGAAGACATAAGAAAATATATCTTCAAAGAATAGAACAGGCTAAGCCCGTAAATAACAAAAATATTGTTCGACTCCATTACAAACAGACTGAAAGTAATAGTAGAAAATTATGCCTTACCTACAAGGAAGGTATAAGTTATAAGAGGTGAAGTGTATTATTTTGACTGTGAGGTAAAATTATTCAGTTTTTTTGTTAATGTATTAAAATAATCACAGTTGAATATTTTAATTTTATTGAGTTTGTACATATTTAAATTTAGGCTATTAATAAATCTATTTAAGAGTATGTGATATTTGTTTATTTTAACTATTCATCTTTTTTTTTTCTACAGGATTTATCAATTTCACTGTGGGGCATGTTTTTTTTAAATATTAAAAAAAGGTTATTTAAATGTTATAATTTATATTCATGTTTTAAAATTTCATTCCATGCATGATTGCTTTGATTATCCAGACTATTTCTAGACGAGGCATTGATTAGTCTTGATAATCATCATTCTTCTGGAAGACTTAATCAAGATTTATTTTAAATAAAAATTTGATCGAATATCTTCTTCTGCAGTTATTCTGGATGCTAGCGGTTTCAGTAAAGGTTTTGGCTTTCTGAGGTTTGGATCCGAAGATGAACAAAAACACTGCCTTCAGCATATGAATGGATACAAAGGTCTCGGAAGTAAACCATTGAAAATATCTAATGCGATACCGAAAGCTCAGCGAACTCAAACAAATGGGCAAAAGTAAGTTCAATTTACTTCTATGAAAATGTCTTCTATTTTTGTTTTTAATTTATTATGCCATTCCCTTCCACGCTGTCAGGGATATTGACATGATAATTTTAATTCTGCTTTAGTAGCTGCTCGTACATTTATTGTGCTGTTGTGGACTGTATATGAGATATCTGGTTAATATATAATTAAGCTATTGAGTAGAAAATATTGCTATATTTATATTTTAATTTGATTTATTAAGCCGGGTCTATTACAATTAATGGTTAGTGGGTTAATAAATTTATCATGACTACTGCAACTATTTTAACTATGAATTAGGTTACTGTAAACGAATTGATTTACTTGCTGCATTCTTCTCTTCCTTAGGTCTCATCTTCCTCTCCTCTCCTTGCTAAGCCGCTTTAGTTTCTACTCCATCTCTTCTATGAAGGCTGTAAGATGTAATTTCCTTGCTGGCCAGCTATACTCCAGTCTTGAGTGGACATTATTTAATGAACATTTTATGACGGAGTAAAGCTAAGACAGCTTGAACAGTTAAAACGGGCAAAAAGTTTTATATTACGTCTTATATAGATGTCATTACGAATTTTCATCACCGTGTGCGTTCTTCGGTAGGAGAAGGTTTTGCAACGTCCTCTAGGAGACCTTGCGGTGCCGCTTACAGAGGGTTTCAGTCAATGGCAGAACATGGACGAGCGGTGAAGCAATCTGAGATAGCTAGATTAATAATTACCTCCCCCCCCCCATAATCCATCTTTTACAAGATAAGAACGGCCTTAAAGTCCGCGGCAGACCGTAAACGTAATCTTCTACATTATGTAAAAGTAAATAAGTCCAAATCATCTCCCTCTTTATGAAGATGATTTGGTAAAACAGACAATAAAACCAGTATGATTTATAATAGAATAATACTCTACAAATGGCCATTAGAGAAGATCATAGAAGCGAAATATATGAGCCTAAGAACATGTACATCTGACAGATAAAATAACGAAAGAGAAGTCGGACTCGATCAAGTTATTTTATAGGCCAAGCTGCTCCAATAAAATCTTGTATGAAAATGTAACTTCTTTTACGTAACAAAGTCCAGGTCTGAGAAGACAGAACAATACCCCCATATTTAGCACGTCCTCTGCATGTCTATTCAGTCTTTCAAGAGATGCCAGCACTCCTGCTTATCTCATCAGCAAATTCAAATTAAATTAAATAGGAATTTGCTGTTTAACAATTTTTTTTAAGGATACCTAGTTTAAGAATAACTAATTTGTCTATCCATATTCGTTTTCGAATTCATATTTTGGGCTGAACTATATTTTCACTTTCCTACCTATACTAGGTAAGGAAAGTATTGCGATCGGGTCAAATTTCTGATGTGCGGTTTTAGACGGATCTATACGTTTCAGAGCCTCCAGAGTCCGAAAAACACATTTTTAGCCATTGGTCTGTCTGTCTGTGCCACGATTTTCTCGGAAACTAGTGAACCGATTTTGTTTCTTTTTTTATTTTATAGGGTATTGATTACTGATGCCTGTGACAGAAATTCGGTGCTCCATGCTGAATAGCTTGCGGGCAATAAATGAAAAACATGTTTTTCTATTGACTAGCGCGAAAACGGCTCTAACGATTTTGATGAAACTTTCCTATAATGTTCTAATCTCTGTCCTTTCAATTTTCGTATATAGACTAAATTCCCGAAAAAATTCAGGAAAAAAAGTTATAAAAACAGGAAGAAATTCCCTACAAAACTATATAAAAATCGTTCATTTTGGACAACTATTTATGAAGTTGAAGCTATTCAATTTCCAATGTAAGATTACGGGTTCTTATCCTGGTGTCAGAAAGGGGTGAATCAGAGAATTTATTCTTATATGACTAAAGAAGTCATTTTTAGATGACTAAGTGAAAGTAAGAAAATCTGTTGCCCGCATCACACGATCTTCACTATTTCTTTACTTTTAACAGAAATTATTGTTTAACAAAACTAAGCTACGGCAAAAAGTTTTTGATCAGCAATATTAGAGGGTATTGAAATTTTCACACTGATCTACCTTAAGCGGGTTTACATTGCTTTAGTTAATCAAATAAATCTTTTGTTTGATCAATTTTCAGGAAAATAAATTACTTCAATTCGTTTTTATTTTTTCATGAACGTATGTAAAGATATAAAAACTTTTCTGAAATAGGTAGGAAAGTCCTCTGAGTGGACACACTCATTTTGAAAGTCTGAATTTTCTTAGAGATGATTCAGAAGTAAGGATTATTCTGTAAGGTTTATTCTGTAAGGATTATAAGTAAGGAGTATTCAGTTACTTCATTTCAATCTTTTAACTATAATATATTTATTTGATGAAAAAACGTCTTATTATTAGGCTATATAAATAAATGAAGTTCATTTATCAGTTTTTTTAATTAAACTTGAGGGGTGTTCTTGAGAGCTGTTCTTCTAACAGCAAACCATTCTCTATTTTCATTTTATTACATATTTGTTGAGTCCCTGTAATTTCTCACTCTTCTAATAAAAAATAAATATTTTTGACCTGAATTTGTATGGGAAATGATAGTTTGAATAATTGCCATATGAGAACAGCACTATCGAGCCTAAAGCATTGAGCTGAAAAGTTGAGCTCCTGTAAACTTCTACTCCCCTTATTCTAAATAGAGATTTTCATCTTGGTGTCTTCGTTACAGTCCGTCCCATTTTGTATATGTAAAATAAAATTTGGCAGTCGCTAAAAACTTTTTTATATAATAGAGAGAGAGATATATTAATGTGCGTTAAATGCATAATTGACTCGTTAAATCCAAATCCTAAACCTACTGCTCTCTATGTAGTATGAATTCTAAACACTGGGGATTTGCAAAGTAGTCAAGAGAGTTCCCTCGGGATAACATATAACAGATAGTAAAGAAATCATTTTCAAAATTTGATTATGTTGCATAAGGAGAAGGAGTTGGTCAGGGGGTGCGATAAAATAAATACTATATATTAAAATAATATTTTATTGTTTACGTCTTATTTTAATATATAATATTACGTCTTATAAACATATAAAAAAATGTTTTTCACAGTCTAACTAGTTTGTTGCGAAAAATGTTCATGCTGAAAATCGAGGGATCATAGAATCATAAAATACTGGATATGTTGATATATTATCTTTAAATATAATTTTTTTTCGGGGGAGGGGTATGATTAAGAGTGAAAACTACGTACACACTTTTTTTTTCGTTCATTTTAATTTTCCACCTTGTGGCCCAATCAGCAATATCGTTCAAGTGGTTTTGAAGAGTGGTGGATGCTCGAATAGGATTTTTATCTGAGCTGAGGACTGCGGTATTGTCAGCAAAAGTAGCCAGTAGGGTGTCACTGTGTTGCAGTAGGTCAGAAATATATATATAATAAACAATATTGGTCCCAGGACACTACCCTAAGGTACTCCTGCTTTTACAGATTTAATGTCTGAATATTCTGTCCCTACTTTTACTACAAAATGTCTGTCTGTTAAATATGAGATTACGTAGGCGGTGGCCAAGAGACATGCTGAACTGTACTATTTCCTGGAGTGTAATGGAACGCTGTGAAGCTGCCAAAAAATTTGCTCATTGCAAAGAAATTTGCAGATCGCAAATTTAATATTTTATGTCCAATTTTATGTTAATAAATATTATTATATTATTAAATATAAATGACAATTTAAAGAAAAGTATTTTCGTTCTAGCCTAGCCAGCTAGTCGACTTTTCTTTATCTTTATTTAAACATTTTATTCATTCACGTATTTAGCTTATTTATTATTGATTTTATTTTTTTATCTCGAATTATTGGGAGTCTCTTCTCACAACTTCAGCATTTTTATTGTTCGCCCACTCGGCCTGTGCCTATGGCACTTACAATCGAAATAAGTCGTCAATCATTACATTCAATGAAGAAAAAAAAAAAAAAAAAAAAAACCTTTTAGAAATAATGTATAAAGATAAAACTTGTGCGACAATCAAAAATTTTGTCTTATACACTAAAAGTATGAAATTTTATTGGTTTTTATTTTATGTTTTAATTAATTTTGTTTTCAGTAACACACAAGTGGTGGGCCCTCAGGGAAGTACTACCTACAACAGCACGGATTACTCCCATTATTACGATCCCTCGTCGTACTGGAGCAACTATCCAGGCTGGGGTTACGGCTATGATTACAACAGCTACATGGGTGCCGATGGCTACCAGAACTACTACCAGCAGCAGGCCGCCGTCAACTTCCAGCAGCCTGCGACCACCGCTCCTGCCCAGCCTGCCGCGGTAACGGCGGCCGTCCCTGCTCAGGACCCAGGCCAGGATATTATAGGTATTATTTAGTATGGTCAATTGATCCCAACCGACTCTTCTGTTCTAGTTTGAAATAATAGGGGTATTTATGCAACCACTGCTAAGTACTATAAACCTTTGAAATAATGTAAAGTCGAGAAAATTATTTAAGAAATGTGTGTTGAATATGGTCACTAGCACTCTCTATTTCAACGCAACCTAGTAGCCCTAGAGCCAGGGCCCAAAAATCGACCTGATCGCAGGTTTTTATTTTTTTTACTTGTATATATGGGTTTAGACATGTAAAAAACAAAATTGCTAAAGCAGGCCACCAAGGGAAAGCTTTTCTCAGCCAAAAAAGTCAGATTTTTTCGATATTTTTTAGGTTTTTTACCATAACTATTATACGATGCATCAAAGCGAATACTGTATTCTTTAATAAATTAAATAACGTTAAATTTTGTGTCAAACGAGTACATAAAGTTTAAAATGTGGTTACAAGGTAAGGTATAAAACCACGGTCAACCAACGGTGAGTTTTACCAAATTTGTCAAAAACTGAGACAAATTACAATAAATGGCTCTTTAACTTGGAAAGGAGTTCCTTAACAGGAAAAACCTATAGAGTCAAAGTTGTGAAGCATCAAATTTTGTATATACTGAGTACTGATATTTTTATTGTTGGCAAATTATATATCTCGAATAGGGATTCGTTCATAAAATTCAGATTCGGGATTGCTTTATAAAATTCGGTATCTTTCGGCACATCGTTTACCAAAATCTTTTGCTGTTGAGAGGAGGAAAAAAGGCGTATACTGCATGTAACAGACTTCAAACAAAACCAACTCAGTAGAATTGACAATATACTGTTGAAATATTAAAAATCACGTTTACCTTCATCACCAATTTCTAACCATCGGAAGATTACCGATTTTGTTTGCAGTAAGTGACATAAATTAAATTAGTTGGTACTCAGTATAAGCAAAATTTGATGCTCTTCAACTTTTATTCTATAGGTTTTCTCTCTTAGGGAACTCAATTCCAAGTTACAGAGCCATTTATAGTAATTTGTCTCAGCTTTTGACAAATTTGGTAAAACTCAGCGTTGGTTGACCGTGGTTTTAAACCTTACCGCATAACCAAATTATAAAGTTTATGTACTCGTTTGACACAATATTTAACGTTCTTTAATTTCTCAAAAAATGCATTTTTCTCTTTGATGCATCATTTAGGAATTATAGTTAAAAAACCAAAAAAATATCGAAAAAATCTGAGTTTATTGCCTGTAAAAAGTTTTCCCTTGGTGGCCTGCGTTAGCAATTTTGTTTTATGCATTTCTAAACTCATATATACAAGTTAAAAAAATAAAAACTTTTCTCACATTTTTCGCAATGGATTTCCGGTTTCGATCCTCAAAGTATTGGCCTAATATTCTTTAAATCAGCGTTCACTTTTGTTAGCAGCGGCTCTGGAACAGCAGGCAAGGTTCTTTTTACTCAAAATAACATACACTTCCGTAATTTACAATCAAACCTTCGCCTGCGATCAGGTCGATTTTTGGGCCCTGGCTGCAGGGCTATAGGGTCCTTTAAAGTGTTCCTAACTTTATAAACGCACGGAAAAGGTTATAGTAAGGTTTTGATGTGTTCGATTCTTTGTTTATTTACAAAATTCATAGAATGTAAAGACAGCTAGAATTTCGTTTATGTATTCATCAAGTTCTTTGCCTTCTGAATCATCAGCGACTCAGTCTATTCACTTTTTTTATCATTGACCTTAGTAAATTCAATTACTGTTTTCTTGAAGAAAATTTGGCCTAATTTACGATAGTGAGCTTAAAATTTTGTTATCTTGAATAGTTTTTGAGCAATTTCTTCTTATTCAATAAAAAACGTGACCATCTAAAGGAAGATGGACAAATTTGTCTTATTTCTCTTTCTGTGCGGAATTAGCCCATGCATCAGATGAACTTTTTGTTGTTTATTTTGTCTAGATTATCCCTCCAGAAATTGATCATTAAGAACTGTCTGTGACATGTTATATAATATAATATTGGTTACTTATCAGGCATGATGTTAAATCCCATAATCGAACAAACACTTTATCAGTTCAATATAAAACTTATATTTATTATAGAATATATTGATGACTTACATTTTACTGTAAAAACAACTCATCTGACTTAATTTCTAATCACCTAAAATGATTAAAATAAGAATTATTACTTGGTTTTTAGCTAGCATTTGAAATTTCCAATTAAAACATCTTATATAAAAACATTTTATGGTTTGGATTTTTTTTGGTTTATTAATAATAATATCAAGGATCTTTTTTCAATGAGTGCTATAGCTTTTAATTATTTAAACCTTTGTTTTAAGGATAAAAATATAAAATAGTAGAAACCATTTATTTTCTTTAATTGCTACAATGTTAGCATACATAACCACTATTATGTATTGGTTTTCATAGAATCACATTTGGATTTTGGCACAATTATAATGCAATTCACATAGTGTCCATACTTCTTGAAAGCTTTAAGATATCACTAACTCATTTTTATTTTTATTTTTTTTTCTGAAAAAAAGGAGAAGTAAATAAGTATTGTTAATATATATTTTCAGTTTGACTCAAATAAAACTAAATGCAATACTGAATTCTTAACCTCAAATAAGATTGGAATTAAGAGGATAATTGAATCTCATCTTTCCTTACAATAAATTTGAACAACACATTATATTTTTAAATTAATTTAACTGTAACTTAATTTAATCTAACTTAATATTTCCTTATTTTTCTTTCCAGATCATTCTCCTTTCATAGATGTTGAAAAGGAAAACGATGAATATGCTAGACAATTCTTTGCATTTTGGGATGATGTCTCTGCAAGTGGCTGGATAGACCCTGAATATTTTGAAGTGAGTTTTTATTTTTTATCATCATTATTAGTTATGTAGTAGAGCGTATAAAAAAAAAATATCGTTTTTCAATTCTAATATTTGTATTATTATTTCTGTGATACAAAATACAATCAATAATCAAAGCATAGTCCATTGTTATCTACCGTCACTTGCCAATTGCTCGATCCCACACTAATACCATTCTTTGGGACGCCTGTCAAAGAACTCTTGGAATGCAATTTCAACTTCTGCTAAATTATCAAATTTTTCCCTAGAAGAAAATGGGCCATGGATCTAAATAAGAAGTAATCCGATAGTGCCAGGGTCTGGAGGACTATATGTGAATGAGGCAGAAGTATCATATTAGAATGGTTTTTCAATTAATTTTCACACATTTCTAACCTCTTAGCTGATTGCTGAGGAGTAAGTTTGTGAGAGACCAGTCTACGGCTATTTTTCTCCTTCCCCATGGAGAGTAGATAGCGACTAAGAGTACCTTTCGACACAACACATTCTCCGGCAAATTCGCAAGTACTCGTGGACGGATTTGACTCCACAACTTCCTGCAGAACCTCACCAATATCCATTAATGGTCGCCCAGAGTGCGCTGGTCAAGGATACCTTCCTCTTCATATTTAATAATCTCACGAATTGCTTCAGCTGCTGTGACATTTTGTTTTCCAATAATGCCTTAAAATTACGAGAATTTCGTAGGACACTGTCATGTTTCTTCTTTGAAACAAATAACTAAACTGTGGCTTTTTTTGAAGAAGTCTGGTGGGATTAAAAAAGCTTAAAGAATGCTCTGAAGGCATTATTAAGTATTAAATAGGACTAAAATATTTACTTACTGTCCTTTGAAATTTGATAAATGAACAAGTTAGCATGATTTATAGTTGTTCCCTGGGATTGAGCCATACTTCAGATAACTTTATGTTATTAATTAACGCTGATAATAATAATAATAATAAAGTAAAATATTTAAGCATTGTGCAGGCTATTTACTGTACAATAATTTTATGAATTTATTAAACACACACCATTAAATTGCCATATAATAATTTAAAAACTATATACTATTATCCAGCCTAATGAAGTGTGAATTAATTTTATACTGAATTATAAAACACCCAATCCTGATATCAAAATAAATAAATAATTTTTTCTGCCCAACTACTATAAATGCTCTGGTATACGGCCAGCCAGTGGGCCGTTTTACTGAAAAAAAAAATCGAGTTCTCTTTCTAGGAAGGAAAAGTATTTTAGCCTTGGAATATTACTATAAATAACAAAATTATTATCTCAATATATACAGCGGTACGAAAAAGTGTTCAAACTAGCCAAATGTTTATAAAAATGATAGATGTTTAAACTTTAGTTTTGAAGTTTTTTTTATCTTCTAAACTGTAAACTTATTTAACCATACAGACATTGCAGATGTAATATATATCTTAATTAACTTTGTTTTCAATTAACAGGAGGTCGAGGATCCAATCCGTTGTGTTGACGTTGTTTTGTCCTCTAAATAAAGCTCCCTTATTGTTTAAATTTAAATACTTTGTTATTCACTTCAGTCTTATTCTTTGTTATTAACATTAAAAAGACACTGTATTGGGTTGGCAAATAAGTCGTTTCGGTTTTCTGTTTAATTTTTATGTCACTATGATACACTTCTTATCTGATGAATTAATTCCTAAGGCGGATTGTTTATCCTGTTTGTAATGTCTCAACAACTATATCCGTTAACTCTTGTTGAAACTAGCTTAGTATTGTGTTTTTTATTGTACTGTGATTATGGAAGAACATATCATTCATTATCAGCTTATTTTGGGGATGATGCCTTAACCGAATGCACCTGTCAAAATTGGTTCCCCAAATTTCATTCAGGAAATTTTGACATCAATGATGCTCAACGGTCTGGTCGCCCACATGAAATTGAAACGAGCAATGTTAAGGCCATTGTTGATCAAAATCCCATCCAATCAGTGCGAGAGATTGCTATGGCCCTAAATGTGTCGCACAAAAGTGTAGAAAATCATTTGCACGAGCTTGGCTATATTTCTAGGCTCAATGTTTGGTTCCCTCACTCTCCAACCGAAGTCAACTTGGCAACACGCATTTCTCTTTGTGATTCACTACGGAAACGACAACAAGACGACCCATTTTTGAAAAGGCTGGTAATAAGAGATGAAAAATAGATATTAAAAAATCTTGGGGACCTAGTAGTGAGGCTCCTAGAAGAATGTTGAAACTCAGATTGCATCCAAAGAAGGTAATGCTTTCCGTATGGTGGGATTTCTATGAGCTATTATCATCAGGACAAACAATTGATTCAACTCTATACTGCTCACAATTAACAAAATTGGATCAATCAATTAAAAATAAACACCCAGGACTGGCAAATCGGAAGAGTGTTGTGTTCCACCTAGACAACGCAAGACCCAACACCTCATTGGTGGCTCGTAATAAATTATTGAGCCTTGGATGGGAAGTTTTGCCCCACCCTTCCTATTTACCAGACCTAGCTCCAAGTGACTACCACTTATTCTGGTCTCTGCAGAACTCCATGAATGAAAAGAAATTCCATGGACATCAAAAACCACTTGGATCAGTTTCTTAACAATAAACTTCAGACATTATACAAACATGGTATTATGCTATTACTGGAAAGATGGGAAAAAGTCATATTAAATAATGGTACAATATTAATCCATTATCAGAGTATATATTATCATATTAATTTACGATATATTATAGTATTGTAGATTAAAATAAATTTTAATCCTTACCTCTATCAGGTTGCTTTCTTTACATGTCAGGATAATAATCACAATTAGTTTTTATTTTTCTTTCTCTCAGTTAACATGGAGTGAGGTGATAAAGAAAACTGAATAACTGTGATAAACTTACACTTAGTTGTAAAATGTAGGTTAGAGATTTTCAACATTTTTAAACCTTTGGATATCAGCCGTATGTTAGTGTACCGCATTATAAATAGATATAATGAGACCCTATCTGTATGTGACAGACCTCGACCGGGCCGTGGCTGCTCGAATTGGAAGAAATCTCATTCGAAAACAACAAATCATGTCTCTGATCTTAGGATGGGTGCATTTCGAAGAATGACAGGATAAAGGCAACTTCCGACTAAGTTGTGAAAAGGTAAAACATACGCCTGCCCGAGCTCGTGCCGGGAAAAGAGTACAGATATTGTAAATACGCTGAAATGCAACATTGGATGGGAAACATTCTAGCTATAAATAAAATTTATTCATATATTTATTTTCATAAATTTACCATTAGTTTTGTATTTGTATGTAAGTTATATATTTACTAATTTTTGCATATTATTATTTTTTTAAAGATGGAAATGAACAAACTGAAGCCAACGATAATAGACTGAAGACTGAGCTGTGATCTCCTTATTATTGTACAATCATGTAAATAATTCACTCATCACAGATGTGATATGTACTATATAGATAACACATTGTATATTTTCTATTGAATATGTTATTGTAAATTCAAACGATTGTTTGTGTAAATAACAAAAAAACGAAAAATTAATAAATGATTTATTCATTTTTATTTAAAAAATACTTATACGTAAAGCATAAAACAGGCAAAATATACAAAATGAACAAATTATATAAACAGAAGAGGTGTTCCATAGCTTCTTCCCATATACAGGAATCTTATAAATTGTCTATAAGATTTTCTTGCGGGATAACATCCAATAGTTTTTGAAGCCAAATGGTCAAACCACCTAGAAAAACAAAAAGTATAGATTATATGATGAATTTTAGAAAAATGATATGTAATATTCTCTATCTTCTATTTTTTCTTTAACTAAACATTAATTTTATTTTATTTAAGTTTAGTTAATAGATATTTGTAAGACTGGATAAGCAAAAAGGCTCTGATGATAAAAATTTTGTTTTCATTTTCGAAAAATATTCAAATAAAGTGAACAGTTGTATCAGTAGATTATTTGAAAAATAAAATGATTTTTTTTTTGTTTTTAAAAACACAAGTGCCATCACATAATTCTGTAGCATAAAAGAGCTGATATAACTGGCTTATTTAGACAAATTGTTTATATGTGCCTGAGGAGTGCGTGAGTTTTTTTTATATATGAATTAATACCAGATTGCTATTACGATACATCTCCTATATCTGCTTTGACCAATTAAGTAGATGTATTTACTTATAATTAATAAACTAATAATTTTTTTTTTTTATGTTAAAATGTATAAGATATATTAAAATATATAAAAACCTATAGAAAATAAAATCAAACAAAGAAATGTTTAAGTTAAAAGTTTTTGTTTTATTGTACAAGTATATAGTTAATCCACGAGAAAAAATTATAAAAAATAAAAAATAATACCCATAATTTCTTTTGATTGTTTTTATTAAATTCCCTGTATTGATAATAAAAAAATTGAGTATATCGAGTTTTTTTTTTGTGTGTGACTACCTCCTATATCTTTTAATTCTTACGAGGTAAACATAATACACAAATCATCACATATTTATATTAAAATTGTATTAGTTAAAATAAATATACATACAGCTCAAAAAGAGATTTACAGTGATATCGTTGTAAATGGTAAAATCCAAAATACAAACCCATGAGTCTCTAATATACAAGTAAACAATTAACTTGTCAATGTTTTGCCAATTCAGGCAACATTAGGATAGAAAATACAAGATCGCATATATGAAGAAAGAAAAGAAGAAAACCCATTTTAGAAATGAAAAATCATCTTTATTCTGGGACTAGGTCCCTTAAGAATAAATGTATTGTTCATATAAATTAACAATAAATCCGGCCAAAAGACCTATTAAATAATAACAAAATACTAGTAATAAATTAAGTATAATAGCTCTTAGCATATATTAACGAGAACAGTTGGGTAATAGGGGTTCAGTACTACAATATTGGAGCTAAAACGATAGCATAATAACCACTAAATGAAATTAGAAAGGAACGCAAAATCAATTTTATAGGCAAATCATTCTAGTAATGGAATATAAAAGTTAAAAAAAAATACGATATAAAAAAAATGGTTTACATATGTTTCCTGAGATGTTTAAGTGAATACACGTAAAGATTAGGAGAAGAAATTTATATTAAATTTTCTTTAATAATACAAATTTAGGAAGGTTATATTAAACAGCTGATTGAGGGGGCTAAAAAAAAATGCATACCCGAAATATGTTAGTACAAAAATGTTCTAATTAAATTAAATAAAAAAAAAAGAACAAATTTAAATAAATACAAAAGAAAAGGCTCAAACGTGTATATAACATCCATATTTGTTTTTGTTTTTCCCATCCTGATTAGGGATGGGTTGTTACAAAAGTGTCAGTAGTTTGTCATTACCTACAAAATTTATATTACAATTTAGGACCTCATCTGTTATTTTGGCACCGTTTCGGTATCGATTTGGAAGGTTAACATGTCGTTATCTTCCATTAAAAATCGCATGCCATGTGGTGGAGTAACCAATAATGAAGTAAAGCTTTTCTATCATACATGATAAAAAAGTTTCTCATTGTCCTCAATTTGAACCTTCTAAATCTCTTTACTAGAACTGGTCATGGGAACCACTAACGGATCCAGGATTTAATTTTGGGAGGGGTTTCAGCCCAAAAGATTTTTTTTTTGTATATTTTAGGATAATTATTTCGAAAGAAAGAAGGAAACTAATTACCTAAATGAAATGGTGTTGAAATGATTCTTTAAGGCCTATTAAATGTAATTAGATGAACAGTAATACTTTTAGACATGGTTATTATTATGGTTATTAATACTTTCTTGGAAATTTCTTATACCAAATGATCAACTCCCAGCAACCTTCCTATATCTGTTGTCTCCTCCAGCCTAAACCCTTAGTCCACTCAATAAAAACGAGATCCCGTGTTTCTGACCTCTATATTCCATTCCACAGGACAAAAACCTATGAACGTTCCTTCTTAGCCCTCTCCGACTCCTATTGGAATTCTTTGCCACATAACATCCGTCATGCCTCTTCCCTGTCAACTTTCAAATACCTCCTTTTCCAATATCTCCTTACATCCCAAAGAGAAGATTTACCACCATAAATTTCATTTTATGAACTGAATTTGAGTGAAGTAAATAGTGGTGCCTACTGTTTAAGTTTTAACATAAAACAGCAATGATCTTTTTCACCTAGTTTGACTATTATTTTTACTATTTATTTATTTTTCTCTTCTCCTCAGGTTGTGCTTTTTTATTTTCGGGTATATATGTTCATATTTTATATCTTTGTCTTTATGTGTGCCCAATATGAGAATGTACGTATAAATAGTTCCTTTTAGTTTTTTTTTTTTTTTTTCCATTACACCACAAGTATCCTAAGATTTTATTTTATCTTAGTGTCTGCATATTATTATATAAACCACTGTAGATATTATTTCATTTTGTATTAAGTTAGTTTTCTATTAGATAGCCTATTGTTTATAAATTGTGTAGTTATGTATATATAAATATGTAATTTCTCTTCTTTTTTTTTTCATCACAATTAAGTAATTTTGAGAAGATTTTATGTTCATTTGTATATATATTTTATTTTTTACTGGTTACATACTTTTAAAATAATGTATATAATATTAAAATTTTTATAAGTTAGTTTTTGGCCAGATTTGTACTTTACTTTGTATTAACTCATCATTGTTATTCTAAAGGGACTTAGTCCCAGAATAAAGTTTAATTTTCTATTCTATTCTATTCTATATTTTACCATTTTGGGGGGGAGGCTTCAGCCTGAAAGCCAATTTTTCCATGTATTATATAACATAATGATTTATGTCCTTTATTTACCTATCATGTTATATATGATAACATATTTTATATATTTACATCTATTTTATATATTCGAATTTATTCCATCATGAGATATCCAGAAACTTAAAAAAAAAATTAATTTGCTCAAAATAAAAACTACTTAATTCAACAAGTTTAACAAGGTTAACTGTTTACCTGTTTGTTATAGACTAATGCCTTTATAGTTGGATTTTTCCTTGTATTAAATAACATAATGATTTATGTCCTTTATTTACCTATCCTTTATATATGATAACATATCATTTTATATATATATATATATATATATATATATTTTCTTCAAAACATTTTGTCATTATTTTTTTCAAAGTGACCATGTTTAATAAAAAAAAATTACAAAATGGAATTTGATCAATACATCTCATATGTATCATATACTTATTTTGTTCAATATAGATTATTTAGTGTTCTTTTATTGGATTATAGATTTTTTTTTTTTTTTTGTTTGAGCCAAAATAAACAATATTGCTAATTTGTTTTATGGTTCCTTTAATTAATCCAGTCATAATGTACAAAATAGTTCATAGGTGGGGAACCTATTTATAATTAGAAGCAGCAGTAAGGTTAGGAAGTGCTAATAGAGACTGCAATAATTCTTTATATTTTATCGTTGCTATTTTTATTTATCACTAAATAGACACACCCACATACATACATTCAACTTAATTCTAATAATTTCTAAATGTTTATTACTTTAATAAATAAATATTAATTAATTCAGCACTACATTAATAAAATTTTGCAAGAAAATGTTTGGAGTTCTCATGTGGCCTCCATGGCCGCAACTACGTCATAGAGGTCACATGTGGCCTCCGAGGGCGCAGTCCATCTAAATGTGAAATAGTTTTTGTAACTACTTACCTCAGAAAACAATTATTTTTTTGACACATTTATTTTTTAATTTTGTTTAATATATTAATTTAAAATTTGTATTTTTGATTTATGTTTTGGCTGAGGGTTACTAAAAATAAAATAAAAACTATATAAGTTACTTACGCATTGTTCTCTCTACAAATAGAGACCTTTTTTCGGTTTTCACAAATAAGTAGTAAATAGGAACTCCAGAGGTAGTTATAAAAAAAGCAATCACTGAAAAAAAAAAGGAGAAAATACATAGTGTTGCGTTTAAATAATAATATTGACATATTTCAAAACCATCAACTCTATTTTTAATTTTCTTTTCTTCCATATTTTTGTACTAAAGCCGGCTCATAATTGGGTTCTTCCTCAAATTTTCAATATGTATTCGTCAATAAGGATTGTATAGTAAAAATATAAAAAGCCCCAGATTTATTTTATACATGTTTTAAAAAAAAAATTGTTTAGGGACTGAGTTACATCATCAGAGTGGAAACACAGCTACGTCAGAGACTGGCAGTGCTTATACGACGAGCTTACTGGTACTGTCATTAGATCATGTTAAAAACGGTTCCCTATATTTACATGACAATTTTTGATAAAGATCTTGCTTTAATTGACAATTATTTAATATATATTTTTTTAGCAAGACATGCTAGGAAAGTAATCTTGGCCTTATCAATTAAAAACCTAAATGGTGTGTTATAAGATTAGTATTTGAACCTTTTAAGTTGACAGTTGAGTTTAGTTGACTAACTCCGATTTCAACATTTGTGAGTAAAGTCATTTTAGTGATATTTCTAGTTGGAAAATTTATAATATCTGTACAGAGAGTAAGTTGATTCCAGAGTAGGTGATTGCAGTGTTAAAATATAGAACTGTGAATAAGGGATACATTTTCCCACTAAAAATATCTTTTAAAATTAATAATCAAAAATGTTAAAATTGGAGTTCTGTCAACTGAAAGGCTCATTTCATAATTAATTTTATTTATTTTTACTTTCATTATCTATATATAAAATTAGGGAAAGTATTGAATCTTAAATCCGAGTTTTAAACAGAAATACATGTTTCAAGATACATTGAGTTCAAATATCCAAGTCTTGCAAAAAGGTTTGTGTGTATGGAAACATATCTATTGCAAAAATGAAAATGTACAAAACTGAATTTACCTATTTAAGGTATGTATACACTTGTGATGTTACAGAAACATTTGCATCAAAATCGACTAACTGAAAATTGTATTTTATATTCGGGATTTTCAAGCCAGGTGCTGCAGTACTCTGGTGTGTTGCAGCCGTATCCCAGAGGTGCTCGGAAATAATTAACACTTCCCTGCACAACTGCTAGCCTTAAAATACTACTTCCTTACAAAGTACTTTTTTTTTATTAAATACCTATTAATAGGCAAAATAAAATTATATCCAGGAAAGATTTTATTTGGTTTATATATATTTCAACAAAAATCAGTAAAAATTCTATTTTATAAATGCAAAAGTCATAGAACAAAATTTCGGTCATGGGCACTGAGTTAGGAACTCCTGGTTTACTACATTACTTAAACGTGGCAATTTATTCACTTATGATGCATATAGAGAGTTTTAAAGAAGATCTTGAGAACTTACCAGTATTCATTGGTTCTGAGATGGTTGAGGTAATTACAAGGAAAGCACAGCACAAAAGAAATATGATCGGCAGTGACAAATGTACTTTGATGGGCCGTGGAAGATCAGGTCTCGCCCAGCGGAGGTAGAGAAGAGCTGCGATACATGCACCAACAGAAAACCAGAGCACTTGGCTGAAATAATTTATTAAGATGTAAACGTCGCTCCAGCACACCATAACAATAGATGATCCTCCCTGCAAAAAATTAAGATATTTCAATGTACAACATGTTTCTTAATTTAAAATATTAGTTATTAACAAAGTTGATTAAACAAATTAGAAAAGGTAAATTTGTAGAAAATACAGAAGAAAAAATAAATTACATAAATTTTAGCTATAATGGAATAAAGAACAATAGTGTTCCCCAAGTGGTCGATATTAGAAAATAATCATTATTGAATCTTTGAGCCAAACAAATGAATTTACATGTTTCCAATATTTTTTTTTCTACTCTTATAAAGTCATACAATTTTATAAGTAATTACAAATTAGCGCAGAACCATTTGTGCACTTTTTGAGGCCTTGGCATATAAAAAATGTGAACCCATCGTTAATTTAAAAAAATATATATATATTCGAACAATCCACTTTGTTGAAAATTTTAGGTTTTTTTCCAGATGTAAAATACCAATGTCCAATATGGTGAGTATCTTGTATATATAAATTAAAAGGTTCAAAAAAGGCTAAAGTTTTTTTTGGCTTCCATTTCAAAACGAAAGACTTGATGGTAATGAAATGTATATAAAAACACTCCTGAATTTGATTTCAATGATGTATCAAAATTTCAAAGCAATCAGTGAAGAACTTTTGGAGATTAGAGGTTTTGAACAAACATTTACAGTTTTATTTATATACATACACTGTTGCAAACAATTTTTTACTGGTAACACTAAAGCTCGTCAATAGCTACTAGACAAAAAAAGTAAATCAGTTGAGGAATAGAGGAGAAAAAGATTTTGAAATGTTTCGCCTTTGCCTATTTATATAATGATACATAACAATGATATTGAACTTTTTAAAATAATAATATTATAATATATACATATTTATTAATAGTATAAAATAAATACCATGAAAATGAGGGACGGAATAGGAGTAAGCTGCTTAACACTGATGTAGGAGAAGATCTTGGGAAGATGGCCGACTTGACTTCCTATCAGCAACAGCCTACCTGAGGTGAAGAGAATCCCGTTGACTCCACCGAATGTCGAGAGAGCGACGAAAATGGGAACTGACCAGCTCAGGCTGCCAAATATCCTGTCTCCGAATGTCTAGAAAAGTTTTAAAATATGTTTTAGACATTAAAAATTTTAAAAAATAAAATAAATATATATATACTGTTGGTTTATTGCAAAACATTATTATTAAGGGATTGCCTCCCTCCTCCCCAATAAAAATGTTGAGGGAGCGAGAATATCGTACCCCCAATAGATAGATATATAGCTTATTGGCTAATATGTACATCTTTTAGCCATGAAGTTTGGCCCATTTGGTGTTAATAGTTGTTATTATTGAATGACAATGAAAGCATAAATAAATAAAGACATAAATACATATACATATGTAAATTCCTATTGCTTATTATAACCTCCCAATATAATCCAATAATAGAGGAATTGTAAGAAAAAAAAAAATATATATATATATATTCCCAATAAGTAAATAGAATAAATAAATAAATAGATAATTATTTCTAAAACCAAAACAATATAAAAAAGTGTATACCTGGAAATTAATTAATGATTCAATAATATATCGAATTAGACTTTCTTTCTTCCTTTCCCTCTCTCCTTCTCTCTTTCCCTTTCATTCCCAATACTACATAAATAGAACTACACTAAATAGTTATTCCCAAAGCTATATACATATAAATAATTAAATGGTTATTCCTAAAATAATATAATATAGTCCTTACTCTTAAATACCTATGTATAGTTTTTAACAAAAAGAAATAGATGTTATTTAGTTTGTCCGCACTCTCAATATTTAGAAGATTTTCCAAAGATAATTGTTTACTGTTTTGGACAATATAATCTCCCAGGTATTTTTCCCTATCAATACTTATTCTGGGGCATTGCAATAGCAGGTGTTCCATGTTTTGGGTGATATGTTCTTGACACCATCCACATTTTTCCCCTATTTTTATAATCAAAGTGGTATATTTATAAAAAAGTTTCAGCTTTTCAGTATCTGAAATTCTTAATTGGCTAACTAGTTTCAGTTTGTTTATATTTACATGATAAGTTAAATATTCTTGCGGCTGAGAGCTGTTAAAGCTACAAACAGTTCTGTAAAGTGGGTTGTATTTAGAGTTGAGAGCTCTATCAATATCTATAGAGTAGAGATGATTTTTTACTATTTCGATAATTATATCTTTATTAGTAAGTAAGTAATTTGGTTTTAGCTCTTCAAAAGGGTCGTCATCAATATAATTATTTGCTGCTATTTTTTTAATTTGTGAGATCCAGTTAAAACCTGAGTCTCTCTCTTTTGTATGTTAATTAATGAGTCTGACAAGGCATTTGTGTGGCAGTCGGTTTTCAGGCATTGAAAGAAGCTTAATACAAAAATTAATAATTTTCTTCAAAATTTTTACCTTTTTACCGTACCCCCAATAATTTGAGGTAAAAAATTAAAATCAATAATAAATAAGCTACACGAATGAATAAAATGTGTAAACTAATCGAATAAGAAAAGTCGACTATGGGGTTAGGGACTACTAGTTGGTGTGTAACTATTTTATTGATACCTAAATGTTACTTTTATTTAAATTGTCATTTATGTTCAAAGCTAATAATATAAAACAACATATCCTAGCATTTTATGATTTAATCATCCTTCGATTTTCACATGATATTCTTATCACATTGGACAGTGAGAAATCAAAGATATTTCTCATTTTTTTACATTATTCATTTTTAGCTGAAAAGGTTTTAGAAATGTAGCAATGTTATGAAGACTGTAATCTCCTTCTCTCCGTGTTTAATATAAACAAATGCATTATATTTTCAATTGTATTTTTTTTTTAAAGATATTTTCAAGTATATACAAGATGTAAAACAAAATAAATAAATAAAAATCCTTACAACCATAAAAAAAGATATAAACAAATTAATTTTAAATATTCAATATTATATTTTTTCATTACCATAAAGAGGGGAAGGATAAGATGGTTGGGTTGTGTGCAAAGAATGGAGCATGGCAGGCTCCCTAAAACGATGGTGGAGGGACATCCAGGTAGAAGAAGGATAAAATGTAGGCCTAGACTTCGTTTGCTGGAAGACATTGAAAATGATCTAAGGTCGATTTGGAGGAAGATAGTAGAGGAAGCCAAGATTCTACAAGGACCATAGTGCCATCGGCTGATGATGATATTTGTTCATTTCACAATAATTATGTTGAATTTTTACACATATTAAATTCCTACAAGATTTTATTTTCCCCCAATAAAAATCAAAAGTCTGCGCTTATAGCCAACCTTATATTAATTTTCTATGTTAATTTTTGATGAGTATTGTTATTATTGTTTCAAAAGAGACAAAACAAAAAATACAATTCTTGAAATGAAAAATGTTGAGATAGATAAGCTTTCTAGTTAAGGTTTGATTTGTCTTCAAATTATCTGTAGCGATCTAAGATATTATATATATATATAATATATATACACACAGGGGCGGAGAAGTCTGTACTACTCACAGCGGATCTATGGGGGGAGGGCTTTGGGGCTGAAGTCCTCCCCACCCAAAATGGTAAAATATAACCATGTTTTACGGAAAAAAATATTAAACAAATTTTCTCTTAAAGTATTAGTGTTTGTGTAATTACATTTAAAAGGACTTTAGGAATCACTTAAACACCATCTCATATAGGTAGTTAGTTTCTTTCTTTATTTCCAAAGTAATTATTGTTATTTTTATTTTTTAAAAAGTTTTCCGGCTGAAGACCCCTCAAAATTAAATCCTGGATCCGCCAGTGTATATATGTATATATATATTGTTTTTATTATGGTGGCAAGCACTAATGGATCCAGGATTTAATTTTGGAGGTGGGCTTTAGCCCACAAAAAATTTTTTTTATATATATAATGATAATTACATATATGATAATTATATATAATGTAAGAAAAAGAAAGAAACTAACTAACGCTATGAAATGGTGTTTAATTGATTCTTGAAGTCCAATTAAATGTAATTAGTATGTAATAAAATATTTTTTTCATAAAACTTAGGTTCAGCCAGAAAGTCTCCCCCCCCCCACCATAGATCTGCCTCTGGTGGCAAAAATGTTCTAAATAGGACTTGATGCTGCCAACAGGGCAAAAAATGTAAACTAAACAGTTTTAAATAATAAATTCATATGTGATTCTCAAAGCTACAAGTAGAAAAAAGTTTTTAAATTACAAATAACTTTCAGAAAATATAGAGATAGTTTACAATTTCTGCAACTGATGGCAGCACTAGCACTAGGTCCTTTAAAGATATTTTACTGTGTTCCCGCTAATTTAGTTTTCGTGTGTAGTAATTTCTAGAGTGCAAGTATTTTTCAGTAATTTATGGTAAGTAATTAAGTAATATGGTTTATAGTAATTTGTTATGAAAAGGTCTACCTTCATTAAATGAAATATATTCCCATTTATGTTATCTATCCAATACTAAATACCAGGTATTGAAATGAAATTTTAACCTTTATTTCAAAACAGTTTCGGTATGACTGAAATCTTTATTTTCAATAATTTGTCTGTTATAAAGTAAAGGTTTTATAGACTTTTTATTTTTAAAAAACTTATTTTAAAGTTCTGTTGATTTCGTAAAAAATCTATCTAAACATTACTTTTATTCTTAGTTACTCAAACTAATGATACATTAGAATCAAGTAATTCATTAATAAGATAAATTATAATTCTAATCTAAGAACATTTGTTGTATATTTGTCGTTTAATAAAGCTTTTTTTTTTAGTAACTAAATAAATAAAAATTTAACTTTTACCATTAATCTAGTTTTATTACAAAAATGTTCTCTGGCATTTTTATTTTAGAAGTTTTTTTTCCAAAAAACTTTCTACTTATGCTAAAAACTGATGTCTGTGCGTTTAGACATTTCACAAACTATGGGACAAATACATGAATGGTAATTTCACCATGCAAGTATTTTTGTTTCTTGTTTTTGATTTTTTTTCATCTGCTTTCGATATCAAGATAAATAAATAAATAGTTTGGTTTAGCGATAATGTCGATATTAGTTAAGTTAGATCGGGAGTCACTAAACGTTTTGGTCCTCCTAGAAGGTCACTTTTTGGGGGATTTTCGCTTATATTTGGAAAACTATCCATCGCATCGACAAAAACGTTATATACAAAATTAAAGCTACTAAAATTTTCAATCAAAATTATCTTGCCTACAGTTCTTTATGGGTGCGAAACTTGGCCGCTTACATTAAGGGATGAGCAGCGTCTTAAGGTTTTTGAAAATAAAGTATTGCGTAGAATATTCGGACCGAAGAAGGATGAGTTAACCAGAGAGTTCAGACGGTTACACAACGCCGAATTGCGTGAGATGTATCCGGGTAATATAATTGAGGTAATTTCATCGCGGCGAATCAAATGGGCTTGTAAAGTTGTTGGGCTTAGTAACGAGAGAATTCCTAAAAGGTTAATCTTTGCTGTGCCGAATGGTAAGCGTCCGAGGGGAAGACCGAAGCGAAGGTGGGAAGATTGCATTAAAGCCGATCTGAAGAGACTGGGTTTGGACGGCGAACGGTGGAGGGAGGTGTGTAACAAGCGATTGGTGGTGTCGGCATCGAACCTTCGGGTTCGCTAAGCCTTTTATTATTATTATTATTATTAAAATTTTCAATATGATAGATTAATTGCTTTTTTCGCTACCTGACTTAGTTTCCGAGAAATCGGTCCTCAACTATGGATAATTAAAAAAAAAAATGTCCTCATGTTTATTGCTGTATTTCGATTTTCGCTTATATCAAGAAAACTATTCATCGCATCTATAAAGACATTTTATTAAAAATTAAAGTTGATAAAATTTGCAATAGAATTGGTTTCATATATTGTTCGCTATCTCGTTTAGTTTCCGAAATATCCGTCCTCAACTATCGCTAATTTGGAAAAAAAAAATGTTTACTTCATGTTTTTATTGTATTTGACTAGCTAACTCTTGATTGTTTCGTTCAACGATTAAGTCACAGGAAAGAAAGTTTTTAATAATTAAATTTTCTTCATAACATACATACGAAATTAAAAAGACAAGAGCTTACTAGACGATATAGCCAACTCTCACATCTTCTGGACTACAGATCTTCACTTAACTTACGAAACAATCTACTGATCTACAACACCGTACTGAGACCAATATGGACATATGGAGCAGAACTTTGGGGTTCAGCAAAACAAACACACATAATCAAAATACCAACAGCACAATCAAAAATTTTACGACAAATCGTTAACGCACCTTGGTACATTTCAAATACTACTATACATAACGACTTAAACATCCTAACAATACAATCCTACATCCACGACAAATACTCTACATTTTATTCTTCAATCCAAAATCACTCCAATCCTCTGGTTCTTTCTATCTCCTGATCCTCGCGTTACCTGAACAACGCAGATTAAAAAGAAAATGGCCAAGAGACCTACTACACCAATAAAATTCATATCAAGCAAATACACCAAGACAATACAAACACAAAAAATTTGCTAGATGCGTGGCCGCGCAGGTTCAAATTGCATAAAATATAAATAAAATAATAAATTTTCTTCAAGAATATATAGTATTTTACTTATTTATCTCTAACGGTTCAAAAGTTAGATCACTTATAACTTTATAAATCAATTTAATCCTTATACCAGACTGAAACGACTAGAAACCGCCCGACGTTTTCGACTACTGCAGCACTTACTAGACAAACGCTCTAAACTTCCAACTATTTTCAAAAGACTCATATATATTACTATAATAAGGCCTATTTGGACTTATAAGATCGAGCTTTGAATCTCTACTAAACAATCAAATTCCTCTCGTATCTAATCCTTACAAACCATAATCCTTCGTAAAATCCTCAATGTTCCCTACTTTGTCACAAATAAAATCACCCATAACGACCTTAATGTACCATATGTTTCCGATTTAGCTCAATCCAGATACCTATCCTTGCATAATAAACTTCTGAACCATCCGAACCCTCTCGTTTCCAACCTTGCTTCCTCTTCTATTCCTGATAATCCTCCGAGCCGCCTGAAAAAAGTTGGTTTCGGGACCTTCTAATATAGAAATATAATTGGAGTGCTACCATTGGGTAGTTTCTCTTCATGTTGTATATTTCATGTTACTTGCTTCATAATTACTTGTTTGTGTATTTATCATTTAATACATTTGTAAATTTCAATAATAAAAAAATATGTCAATTCTGAGAATTTGCAGAAAAAAATTATAATATATGTTATCATATTGCTCTATAGTACAGAAAGTTAGAGCAATATAATAACGAATATTATAAAAATTATTTGTTTCTTCGAATTCTCGGAATTGACATATAAAGTTATAGTTGATCTAACTTTTGAATCGTTGGAGATTGAACTATTTAATTATTAAAAACTTTCTTCTTCTTGAATCTTAGAACGATGCAATCAAGAATACGCTAGTCAAATACAGTAAAAAAAAACAAAACATGAGGTAACAATTTTTGTTTTCCAAATTAGCAATAGTTGAGGACGGATATTTCGGAAACCAAGCGAGATAGCGAAAAAAATATAGGATCAATCATATTGTAAATTTTATCAGCTTTAATTTTTTATAGAACGTATTTGCCGATGCGATGAATAGTTTTCTTGATATAAGTGAAAACTCGAAAAATAGCAATAAACATGAAGCAAACACTTTTTTTTTTTTTTCAAGATTAGGTATAGTTGAGGATGGATATCTCGGAAACTAAGCGAGGTACCGATAAAATGTATATAATCTATCATATTGTAAATTTTATCTGCTTTAATTTTGTATAGAACGTCTTTATCGATGCGATGAATAGTTTTCCTAATATAAGCATAAACCCGAAAAAGTGACTTTCTAGCTCCCCCCCCCATTTCTGGCTCACCAGTTATGAGTGGGGACTTTTAGTATGTTTACCTCCTTACTAGTCCAAACAATGGCGTAAAGTAAAAAATTGTGTCCCCGTCATTTACTTCTATATAATCATTCATTAACTGGACTGTAATAGATTACGATGTATTTACTTGTTAATGCTTGACGAATTGTTTCCTGGATTCGATTTTTGTTAATAGCTATATTAATTATTAAATAAACATACATTATAATGTTATTTTTCATATATAAATTTAAAAAAATTGTAATAATAACATTAAGGTATTGTTTGTAAGATATACTTACCACTGCAACAGCTGGGGACTGCAGCATCTCCTGAGGCGTGATGACCGCGAAGTAAGCAAGGTTGGCCAAAACGTAGATGATGGTCACTATTGGCATAGCGATCCATATCGCTTTCGGCAGGTTCCTGTATCAACAAACGTCCTGTATTATAAGATAAGTAATACTTTTAACATAAAATAAAGTAATTTATGCATGCAGTATGATATAGATAACAAAACGGTCGACCGATTGTGTTAAACTTCTCAGATAAATTTCATATTGTTACTTATAGGCCACTCTCCCCTGGTTATCAGGCAATGCGGTTGTAGGGATTTAAATATCGAAAAAATATTATATGTATATGTATAAATTTTTTTTTCAAACTATCGAAATAGTAATTCGAAAACAACATCGATATATCGGGCTTCGATATTTTTTATTTTAAGATAAGGGGAAGAGGGTCATCATTGAAATATTAGATTTGTAATTGCAATAATAAAATTTCAATACAATTTCTTATTATAAAAATCTGGTGAGCGAATCACACGACTTTCACTTACCACCCTCTTCTTAGCTGAAATAAGTATTTTTAGACAAAGGGGAAGTGAAAGTAAAAATTATAGATGCTACATTTATTTATTGTGGGTGAAATGGTTGACTGTCTTGAATAATGAAGAGAAGAATAGTTGGGGTGATCAGTCAAATAAGAAGGCAAAAATAAATGATAGTATTTATTTTGACATTTGCCGACGTTTCGATCTGAAGTTCAGGCCTTCATCAGAGCTAAGAAAAGAACCAGATAACAAGGTATGAGAAACATAAGTAGTGTAGGTAAAAAAAAATCAAAGTAAAATTTTCTATCTAACTATTCTATTTGCAATATCTTAATTTTACTATTTATTTCCATTTCTTATATAACTTCATATTTTTCTGTTTTACATTTTATTCTAAGATTTCCATTTCAATTGGTTTAAATTCCATTTAAATTGGTTGACTGTCGTGGATAATGAAGAGAATAATAGTTGGGGTGGTCAGTCAAAAAGGAAGGCAAAAATAAATGATAATATTTATTTTTTACATATGCCGACGTTTCGACCTGAAGTTCAGGCCTTCATCAGGGCTAAGAAAAGAACCAGATAACAAGGTATGAGAAATATAAGTAGTGTAGGAAAAAAAAAATGAGAGTAAAATGCAGTTGTTAGAATAATGACAATAGTAAGAACTAAGAGATAAATGATAATAACCGGTACAAAGTGTGGAATGATGAAGTAAACATAATCGAAAAAGGTGACATAAGTATTAAAATGGGAATCTTAGAATAAAATGTAAAACAGAAAAATATGAAGTTATATAAGAAATGGAAATAAATAGTAAAATTAATTGCAAACAGAATAGTTAGATAGGAAATTTTACTTTGATTTTTTTTTACCTACACTACTTATGTTTCTCATACCTTGTTATCTGGTTCTTTTCTTAGCCCTGATTAAGGCCTGAACTTCAGGTCGAAACGTCGGCAAATGTCAAAATAAATATTATCATTTATTTTTGCCTTCTTATTTGACTGATCACCCCAACTATTCTTCTCTTCACTACATTTATTTACATTTGATTGTGTGTATTTTTATTTGTTTAAATACCCTTATATAGACAAATTTTAATTTTTATATCGCTGTAATCTATACAATTAAATATTAAATAATACCATCAATAGCATTAATGAAAACCGCATATATATATATATATATATATATATATATATATATATATATATACATAATATTGTCGGAGTCCGTATCATACCTTAAAGCTCATGTTACGTCTGGAAGCTAGTTGTACTCTTTCGAGCTAGGACGCGCTCGTATTCCTTTGGTTCCTCCATTACAACTATTATCCGTTACGATCTCTTAGTTCTCCTTTAATTAGTTAACAAATTCTTTCATATTTTATATTTAACTATTTTTCGTATCCAATATTAATGTGAAATGGTTAATTATTTCACTTGTTATTATTTAAAAAAAAAAAGTTTATATTTTATGTTATTTGTTTACTTTTTTTTACTTTCTTCATCAGTATTATTTATTTACTTTTTATATTTATATTTATTTCTCTATTATTTGTATATACTGTATGAATGAGAACTCTTAGCCCTAATACTTATAGCCCTCCAGCAGTGGCTGATTGTATTATTATTCAATAAATAGATTATAATAATAATAATAATAATAATAATAATAAAATTCTAAAATGCTTTGGAATTCTAAAATGGTCCACAACATCACTCCAGGAATTAGATAGGTTAATAAGAACAAGTATGACGGGTTCCAGAATGCATCACCCGACTGCATCTATGGCAAGGCTTTACCTGCCAAGAAAGGAAGGAGGGAGAGGTCTTACAAATATTGAAGAGTCTTGTCGAAATCAAGAAAAGAACCTAAGGGAGTACTTTAAACAAAGCGCAGTGCCGTGCCATTAGATAATCTGCAATCTCGATCGCGGGCACACTGCTCTACAATTGGCCTCTCATGAAACTGCGCCAATCTTTGTTACCGACAAAGACCGCATGGAAGAATGGAAGTCAAAAGCATTACATGGAAGGTTTTTTCACCAGCTTCAGCAGACTGAAATAGATAAATCTTTGTCTGTTAGCTGGCTGGTAGGAGGAAGTCTGTTTCCCGAGACTGAAGGTATTTTAACTGCAATCCAGAACCAGGTTATAGCTACCAGATCCTACTGGCGACACGTCTTGAAGCAACAGAATGTATCGGACAAATGTAGGCTCTGTGCAAGCACATATGAGTCCATTCAACACATAACTGGAGGCTGCGGAGCTCTTGCAGGTACAGAATACCTAAAAAGACATGACGATGTTGCCAAAGTCTATCACCAGGCAATTGGTCTAAAAATTAAATTATTAAACGACTCGAAGCCCTACTATAAATATTGCCCTAAAGGTATTTGCCAGAAAGATGACTTAAAATTATATTGGAACCAATCGTTCATAACAGACCATCTCGTGATCCACAACAGACCTGATATTGTATTAATTGACGGTAATATTAAGGTGGCTGAAATTATAGATATCGCTGTGCCAAATGACGGAAACATTAACTCAGTCTGCGCAGAAAAAATTCGGAAATATCAAGGTCTAGCAGCTGAGTTAAAAAGTTTGTATAAACTTAATAAAGTAACCGTTAGGGGCATCGTGATCTCCAGCAATGGCCTGGTACCGGTGTCTACTGTGGAAGCTACTGACAGGCTGGGCCTCCCAACTCATGTAATAAAGGAAGCTCAGAAAGCGGTGCTGCTGAATACTGCCAGAATTGTAAGAAGCTTTCTCAACATTCAATAGTAATTAAAATTGAACATACCTGAGGTGGTTGGAGTTGATTCTCCCCCTCTCAAGTAAACAAAAAAAAAAAACCTTTTGTAAAAGTGTTGACAAATAAAATAATAATAATAAAAGGCTTAGCGAACCCGAAGGTTCGATGCCGACACCACCAATCGCTTATTGCACAGCTCCCTCCATCGTTCGCCGTCCAAACCCAGTCCCTTCAGATCGGCTTTAATGCAATCTTCCCACCTTCGCTTCGGTCTACCCCTCGGACGCTTACCATTCGGCACAGCAAATATTAACCTTTTAGGAATTCTCTCGTTACTAAGCCCAACAACTTTACAAGCCCATTTGATCCGCCGCGATGAAATTATCTCAATTATATTACTCGGATACAGTTCACGCAATTCGGCGTTGTGTAACCGTCTGAACTCTCCGGTTAACTCATCCTTCTTCGGTCCGAATAGTCTACGCAATACTTTATTTTCAAAAACCTTAAGACGCTGCTCATCCCTTAATGTAAGCGGCCAAGTTTCGCACCCATAAATAACTGTAGGCAAGATAATTGTTTTATAGATTCTAATTTTTAAGTTTCGGGACAAGAGGCGCGAACTAAGTAGTTTTGTCACAGAAAAATAACAAGCATTTCAATAAATAGATTATTAAAAAAAAAATATTGAAAATTAGCCATTAAAGCCCTGTTAGAGAACATCAATGAGAATAAAACCTATATTATATTAAAAACTGCTTAATAATACACTGATATACTGATTTTAATCAAAATCATTAGCGCCGTTTTTGAGAAAATCGTAAAAATGTGTTAAATCGATTATATAAAGTACCACTTCCGGTTTGCCGATTTTGACGGAAAGGTTGCTCTAACATCCAAGGATTATAAAAGAGAGAGAATCACTTTATTATCATAAAAGGGTGCTGCCCAATTACATTGGGTTGCTTTAAACACAGCATACTTATTAATCGCTACAGACAATTTTCCAAAACTAATATACAATTATATAGTATTAACAACATGTATGAGCATAATATACAATTTTTTTTTTTTATCATAATTTTTTTCCCTATATTTTTATTTATTTTTTTTATTATTTATTTATTTTATTTTTACTATTTCTTTCATTCATTCATTTATTAGCATTATACATCCCTTTCTGTTCATTCTCTCACTCTATACATTTTTCTCGTTCCCTAGATTTTCTCCTCTCTTTTCCTAACCTAATTCATAACATGCATACAAATACATAAAGTGCAATGGACGTGGTCAATAAATAATGTAAAATTGCTGTAAAACACGCATGCCTCTCCCCATGAACAAACTCTCTATCCATGCACATGGTGATGGATAATTCCCAGGGAGTCAAGGATTATGTTCTCTGCCAACCTTGCCACGTCCTTTATGTCGACACCAAGGCCCTCCATGAGGCTCCTTGTTGAGTCTGGTATCGTTCCGCGAGCTCCGAACCAAAGCTCTCTCTCGCGGAACTTTTCACTAAGGAAAGGGATGCATTTCTCATATGTCTGTTTTTTCTCCCTTTCCACTTTTCCTGCCTGATCGAGGTCGTTGGTCTCATATCTCACGGTCGGATCCAAAATCATCGCCGACTTTCCCGTCTTAGGGAATGCTACAATGTCGGCATATCGGGTGGATCCATCCGTATCTATACAATATACTTCCTCGAAACAGGCGTAATCTCTCTCTTTAAGGAGCTTCATCAGTTCATGTTTGACTCGGTGGTGACGGCGCGTTATAAGGAGGGAGTTGTTGGGGCATTTTCCAAGCACATGTGCTGGTGTTT